AGCTATGATTAAATTCAATTTACTTTTATTATCTCTTCTCTACGAGGATTTTAGTGAATTTCCTATTGTTCTGAATCATCCGTCCATCATCTTAAAATACTGATTTTAAATGTTCCCTGTTTGTGTTTCATCGATATCACTTCTGTTTTTACAGCTTTTAGTCCTACTTTAAGTCTTTCAGGATTTATTGAATCTTTTCAAGTTCTAGTACTATATCAATTACTGGTTACCTATTCTCGTTCTATGTAGATACTTTTACTCCTGCTTCTATTCAATCTTACTCTTTTACGATATCAGGCGAGTTTTTAATATTGTTATAAACTCTTGCTTACCTGACATCGTGTTTTCGAGTTGTTGTTTTTTCTGCTTTTACTATTTTTGCTGCTATTATCTAATCTTATCTGTGTTCTCCCTCGTTATTCTTTCGTACTTTTGAATGCTTGTTCTACTACTTCCTCTGCTTCTATCACTATTGCAGCTGCTTCTACTACTACTACTACTACCGCTGCCGCTTCTCCTACTGCTAATGTTTCTGCTCCTTTTTCGTCTACTGCTGCGTTTGCTGTTTCTGCTTCTTCCTCTTTCTCTCTGACTGCCTCTGCTTCTTAATCTTCTACAGCTTCCTCTGCTTCTGCCTTTGTTTCTACTTTTACTACGACTACTACTGCTTTTATGTCCCTGCTTACCTCTGTTATTTGTTTATCTTATGTTATGTCGAATAAAGAAGCTAGAACAGCAATAACTGTAGGGGATAATGTTATTTTTTTTCTCTTGATATAATATTATGTATGATAATCTGGAGATATTCATGACCTCGTAAACCTCTCTCTCTCTCTCTCTCTCTCTCTCTCTCTCTCTCTCTCTCTCTCTCTCTCTCTCTCTCTCTCTCTCTCTCTCTCTCTCTCTCTCTCTCTCACTCTCGCTCTCTCTCTATCTATCTATCTCCCTCTCTCATTGACAAATTCCACAAGCAAACAACAGGAACAACAACAAAATTTTCCCTTTCTCTTTATCTTATATTCTTGGACATGATAATCTAGAGCTGTCAGTGACCCCGAAATACCATCTGGACCTACCGCGCAAAAAAAAAAAAAAAAAAAAAAAACGGCCATCGTAAATCTGCAGATGTTTATTGGGCGCGCGGATAAAACACGTGAAATATGACACCGATTTCGGAGGTGTCATATCCGCCACCCCCCTCTCACCCCACCTTCCCCCCCCCCCCACCCTATCCCACCGTCCTTCTTAGCGCTTCTTTCTCCCTTCTCCTGTTTCTTTTCTTTTTCTCTCCTTCTCCCATCTTCATTGATCTATTTTCTCCTTTTTCACTCCCTTCGACCCATCTCTCTGGTCCTCTTCCTCTGTTATCTTTCATTTTCCCTTCTTCCTTTTCTTCTTTCTCCATTCACCCTTCAAACCCTTTCTCTCCCCCCCTCTCTCTCTTTCCCTCTCATTTCCCCTCCTCTTATCCCTGAAGCCCTCCATGTTCCCCTAATCCTTTTCCTTTCCTTCCCTTCTCAAGCCCTCCTTTCTCTCTCTAATTCACATTTCTCCTCTCCTCCCCTTTCCCCTTTTCCCTCCTTTTATCCTCTTTCTCTCTCTCCTCCTCCTCCCTTTCCATTTTTCTATCCCTCCTCCCTTGTCTTTTCCCCTCTTCCTTTCCTTTTCCATCCCTCCCTTTCCCTTCTCTCTCTCTAATTCTCATTTCTCTTCATCCTCTCTCTCTCCTTTCCTCCCTTTTCCCTCTTCCTCTCCCCTCTTTCCGTTTCTCCCCCCCCCCCCTTTCCTCTCTCTAATTCCCATTTCTCCTCTCTCTCTTTCCTTCCCTCTCTGACCCTTCTTCTTTTCTCTCTCCTCCCCTTCCTTTTCCCCTTGTCCTTTCCCTATCTTTCCTTCCCTTTTCTTATCTTCCTCTCTCTCGCCTCCCTCTCTTTACCCCCTCTTCTTTTCTCTCTCTCTCTCTCCTTTCCTCCCTTTTCCCTCTTGCTCTCCCCTCTTTTCCGTTTCTCCCCCCCCCCCCTTTCCTCTCTCTAATTCCCATTTTCTCCTCTCACTCTCTTTCCTTCCCTCTCTGACCCTTCTTCTTTTCTCTCTCCTCTCCTCCCTTTTCCCCTTGTCCTTTCTCTCTCTTTCCTTCCCTTTCTTATCTTCCTCTCTCTCGCCTCCCTCTCCTTACCCCCTCTTCTTTTCTCTCTCTTTCTCTCCCTTTCCCCCTCTCCCACTCTTTCTCTCTCCCCTCTTCCAGTCTCTCATCTCCCTTTCCTTCCCTCCTCTTCTTTTCTCTCATTTTCACTCCCTTTTTCCCTCTTCCTCTTTCTATTCGCCCTTTCCTTTCCCCCTCTTCTTTTATCTCTCTTTCTCTCCCTTTTCCCCTCTCCTTCTCTCGCTCTTTCTCTCCCTTTCCCGTATTTCTCTCTCCTCTCTGTTTCTCTCCTTTTCCCCTTTCTCTCTCTCTCTTATCCCGTTTTATCTCCTCCTCCCCTTTCCCTCTCTCTTCTCT